GGTTCTGCACTCCAGCTGTAATGGCTACACAACTGATTTTACCTCCACAGCAAATGCCTGCAGACCTGGGCTCTGAGACTTGCTACTGTGGGTTTGAAAACACAATGTAGACCAATGGTGGGCAATCTCCAGCCTGCAGGCTACTTGGGGCCCATTGGAGCTTCACCTGCAACCTGCAGACCCCCTGTCAGTCTCCCTCCCCCGTGTGCCTCTCATGCAATGGGGCACCAAGAGCCTCACACTGACTACTCCTCCCCCTTCCTCCCAGTACTTCCGCTCCATCCCTGCTATCCCCACTTCCTCCCAGAGCTAGAATGTTATGAACAGCTGTGACCAGACAGACTAACCCCTATATTATCCATCTTATTTGCCTCTCTGAAGCATACAGGACAGAGAAGGAGCAATAATATCAGCATAGTCTATGCTGGCTCATCTGATCCTGAGAAGCTGAAACACAGATACGTGGAGAGAGAGCAGCTAATGTCAATAAGCTGGCCTCGAGGCTGCGGCTGGCCCCTATGTTGATTCGAACACACACACAGTCCCTGAGAGGAATTTTCCACTGAGAAAACAATGTCCTGTACTTCAAAATTTAATCACCTCAAATCTCTCTTACAAGTGTAAATTAAGTTCACAACTCCCTTGTAAGAACTGGTCTCACAGCAGACAGACCAGCATCAATTGGCAATTAAGATAAGAAAGAGAAATACGTGACCTCATGATTATAAAAGATGGGCCCAGCACACACTCACTTTGAGTGTCATTCTACCCTCTACCTGCTGGTCGGGTTAGGTGTTTGACCTCCCGAGGTTCTATGGGGACGCCCACCTCGTATTTTCGTCTTTCCTAGGAATTGAGGGACCGGCCCTGGCCTGACATGCTGGAGTCGAGAGGCACAGAAGGGGGTAAAAATGGTACCTGGATGTGGTCCTCTGTCTTAAGTGTACACATAGAAAGAGTAAGCTGTTACTTGGTACCATTATTTCTATTTTTCTATCTTTATCTTCTTTGTAACCATTTTTAAGACCTATATTTTGCTAATAGTTAAGAAATAGAGCAATAGCCATTGTAACCATATGATTTATAAGCTTCTTTAATAAACCTGTAACTGTTTAAGCTTTAACCTGCCTCCTTCAGTTGCTGTAACAGAACCAAGCACAATTTAAAAGAACTTCAGCCGGTCTAAAGGGACAGTTATAGGAAGAGCTTGGGCGTTTGGATCTGTGTCACTCCCAGGTGACAGGACCCACTGGGGCATCTTTCAGTCTTTCCTCAAGGCTGCCCGCTGCGAAGGAATTATGAAATTCTAGCAGCTGAAATCTAAGATGTAATAAGCTCTTCCTATATAACGGGGCGTCTGTTGGCCTGCTGGCCACCCTCTGCGATGGGACCCCGGTCCTAGCAGTAAAGGCACGGACGTTAAACCTTTTCTCGGAAACATACACACACACACTGCCCTGACCGTCGGCTGACAAACCCGGGGACTGCATGTATTGAGGGCACGCGTCTTTTTGCCCGGCTGAAGGATTGATCACCTGAGGCTGCCTTCTAACCCTTTGAGTCAAAGATAGGGGTGCGCGAGTTCTGAGTATGCTCCGCGTTCTAGTGTGTCTTAATGTTGTTATAGTTGCTGGATTTGTAAGTATTGCTTACATATATTTGTTACTGATTTAGTTAATAGTTGCATTGTGTTAATTTCACTGTGTAATTCTGTAGAGTGTAACTCAGTTCTATTAACCACACTGTGTAAATTGTATAATCTTGTGTTGCGTAGTGGCGTTGTATTTAGGCTAAGTATAAGTGTTAGAAATAGTAACCCAGGAGTTGTTAAGTTGTAAAGGTAGATTAATAACTCCACCAGCTGCCTAAAATAACCATAGAGGGGCTGGCTGTGGACGAAGTTTTTATCATCATTAGATTGGCTATGTTTTTGTATTTTTTGCTTGCATGCTACGCTGCCTTTAGCGAATTAGAGATAGTGATTTAATATAATCGAATTATAATCACAAAGTTTGTAATCAGTTAAGTGCATTTTGGTTCAGTTTTCCCCTCCTGTAAAAGCATTAGGCAATTGCTTGTTTTAAAATTCATTTAAAAGTCACTTGATTTTTGATAAAAGAACCATTCTGTTTAATAAAAAATCATTTGTTTCACCATCATCCAGTAGTTTTCACTGGGTAGTCGGCTTTAACCCCTGGGGGCTCCCATCACATCACCGAACCAAGTTGCGACACAGTCCAGTGTCTAAAGCAGTCCTCTGTGCTGCTTAAACTTCCTCAACCTTGGGGGAGAGAGTCTGGACAAAGGTAGGTCTCCACCAGCCTCCTAGAGGCCACCATGAAATGACCACCTAAAGTGCAGATTCCCTTACCTTTTGTCTCACTCCTGAATACCACAGATTTCCTTTGAGTAGTGAAGCTAAAATTCTTTGTTTATGGCATCACAGACCTACCACATATCAGAAACATCTTCCAAACTTACATTACAATTAATTACAGAATTTAAGTGCAAGATGTACTGGAACAAATTAACAAATATAAATATATTTGGTAATTAGCCACATGGTTAAAATGTAAAAAATGTAAAAAAAATAATTTGTAAGTATAAAGGCCCTCAAAAGAAACAAAGATGTCAAACTTCTAGGACACAATGTCCAATGACTAGAATCTGTTAGACAAATTTAGACTGGAAATAAGGCCTTAATTTTTTTTTTTTTTTTAACAGTGAGGATAATTAACCATTAGAACTTACCAAGAGTTGTGATAGATTCTCAAACACTTGCTATTTTTAAATCAAGATTGGAGTTTTTTTTAAAAATTCCATAGTTCAAAAATAATTATATTGGAGAAATTCTTTGGCCTACATTATACAGGAAGTTAGACAAGATTATGACTTTAGAATCACATTAAAATTACTCTACCAGTCAAGTATATATATTTTGAGAAATACCAAATTAAAAACGAGACTAACTTTTTAAAAATCCAAATTACTCTGAAGTTTTTGCTTTAACCTGATATAGTAATTTATCTTCTCACTGCACCTAAACAAAATATGTAATAGATTTTAAACTTAGTAAATAAACGAACCTTTTGAAATCATATTCATTCCATATTTATACTGGATGGTGTTCCTTTTTTTATTTTTTTTTTAAACTTTATCCCTCTAAACTTATTCTTAGACTCAAGCCATTAGAAAGGGGTTTGGAGTGCAGGAGGGGGCTCAGAGCAAGGAGTTGGAGTTGTGAAAGGGGATGAGGGCTCCACAAGGAAGTTTAGGTGCAGGGTGGGGCTCAGGGCTGGGGCAAAGGATTGGGACACTGGAGGTGAGCAGTGTGGGCTCTGTCCGATTGGTGCTTACCTTAGGTAGTTCCTGAAGTGACCAACATGTCCCTTCGACTCCTAGGGGTGTGTAGGTGGCTCCCTGTACTGCCTCTGCCTGCAGACACTACCCCTGAGGTTCCCATTAGTTGTGGTTCCTAGGGTAGCACATGGAGACCCCCAGGATGCCCCCCTATGTTTAGGAGCCAGACATACTGACTATTTCTGGGATCCATGTGGAGCCAGGGCAGGAGGGAGTGTGACTTAGCCCTGCTGCACTACTGACCAGACTTTTAGCAGCTTTCAATAGTCTTCAGAAGATCAATGCTGATTCTGATAAGTATCCTGGCTAATCCAGGAGGGCTCGCAACCCTAAGCGTGTGTAGATGTCTATAGTGAATTTAATCTGAAAGATGATGTAAAATTATTCTCCTGCAACCTTTATAATGTAAAGAGCTTCACAGTTATTAAATAACAGGCTCTGGTGCAAATGAGTGGACCTAGAAAGTTAATCAGACTTCCAAGTCCTATCAGGACTAGGGATGTAAAGGACTAGTTGACTAGGTCCTCCCTCCCCCTGCCTTGCTGCATCTCTCAGACAGAGGTGGTGGGGGTGTGTGGAGAAGAGGAGGGTACTTGAAAGCGGCACTGCCACACAGAGCCTGGGGTCAGTTGCTCCATACAGCCCTGCCGCTTTGAATGCCACGGGGAGCCCGACATCAGGCTCTTCATGGCATTTCAAAGTGGCAGCGCCGCATGGAGCCTGGGATCAGCTATGGACTCCCAAGCTGACCCCAGGCTCCACGTGGTGTGCCAGCTTTGAAATGTACAAGAGTCCCTGCCGGGGTTCTTGTACATTTCAAAGGCGGAATGTGGAAGTGCTTATTGACTAATCAAGTAGTCGATGGAAATTCTATCAGCTACTCAACTAGCAAAATTAATCGCTATTTAACATCCCTAATCAGGACACACAAAAGCTGCTGCCAAAAATTACAAAGAAAAAGAGGAGAAAGGTCCCTGACTGACAAGCAGAGACTGACCTAACTGACTGCATTAATGTTCTATTTTTCCCTCTGTGTTTCTCCTTTCAGGTTTGTTTGCCCTAAATTCTTTTGCTTGCTAGGTAAATGGTTTTGAATGAATGGAGTTTACTCAAATGAACAGTGAAACATTATTTATGACATTGTTAAAAACTCTATCTTTTATGACAGAGAAATATTAATCTAACAAAGACAAATTTTGTGGGGATTTGTAAATACCATCTCAACAGACAATTATTTTCTTCGGTTACAGGTTTTCCCACTTTCATGAACAAAACTGAAATTAAAAAAATATCACAGTAGGCTTTTCTAAACTACCTTTCAGGTATGTGCTTTGGAATTTCTATATCAAGAGACTTCATATGCAGAAGTTTGATCTTTCCTTCCATATTATTTGCTGCCACCACATCACAAGCAAGTTCATACATGGTCTTTGACAACTCGCAAGCATAGACAGAAGGTGCTCCAGCCTTCTTGGCAAACATACTGCAAAATAACAGAAATCACCACAGAAGTTAATTTATTCTTGTCCACATTTTGCTTATAAATTATTTTAGGTAAGAAAAGTCTGAATTAAAATAAATTCAGATGTATATTTACATCTACTGAAGTATTTATTTCATATTCTTAAGAATACTAGAGCTAATGCAAACTATAGGACTTGGGTGAATGTCAGATTTCCCCAGTATACATTGGGGAACATGAACTAAATCAGCATGTGGATACCGGACATACCAGAAGTACAGTTTGTCCAAACCTACTACAAAGGTTATATGTATGATATAAAGGCAGTAATTCATACACTATAAGGTCAGAGGGACCACTGTGATCATCTAGTCCTGGGGTGGACAAAAGCCTCTCAGTGGGCTGCATGCGACCTGCCTAGGGCTTCAATCTGGCCTGCATGGCAATTCTAGGCCCCGCCTCCCAGCACACTGCCTGGGAGCCAGACACACGCAAGCCCTTTTAACTGCTTCTATTTAAAAGGCTCACACCTTCCCCATATCTGTCGCGCAGTTCGTTGCCTGGCAGCTGCAGGGAAGGCGTAAGCCCTTTGAATAGAAGCAGTTGAAATGGCCCTAACATCCCCGGCTCCCACACGAGCAGTGAGGCTGGGAGCAATGAGCCCTTTAAATAGCAGGAATTGAAAGGACTCACAGCTCCCATTCCCTGCTAACGTTATGCCTGAGCCATAAGAGAGGTGCAAAGCCTTTCACCTTGTGCTATTTAAAGGCCTGCCCATTCCACGCAAGACCCCATGCCTTCTGGGGCAGCGCAAGACTACTTCAATGCCTGAATTAATTCCAGTGAATTCACTTTTAAAAAATTCACACTTTATTTTCAATTTGTCTATCTTCAGGTTCCAGCCACTAGATCTTACCACACTATTATCTGTTACACAGAAGAGCTCATTATCAAATTTTTCCTTGTGTAGGTACTTATTTACCATGACCAAATCACTCCTTAGTCATTTCTCTTTTAAACAATAGGAGCCCAAACTATTTAGTTTATCACTACGAGCTATGTTTTCCAATTCAACACTGTGACTGAATGAACGTGAACTAAATCAGCATGTGGATACCAGACACAGCACTGCACAGTAACAACTCTGTCTCTTTCCTTTCTTAAGCTTTGTTTTAGTAATATGATAAAATGAATTGTCATGGTTTTTTATATAATTTAAATGTACATAATGTCTGCTAAAAATCAAGTATATTTATATTAATACTGTTTACGTAAAACATGCATTTATGACAAACCTGAGTATTCCTGTTCCTGCTCCAATATCTAGAACAGTTCTGCAACCAGAGTGGACCACCTTCTCAATGGCTTTCTGATAAATTAGATTCCTGTTGATGTCATTAAGCATAATAAAGTGCCAACGTTCTACCAGCCAGTTTGCAACACGGTAAAAATTCTCCTTTGCATCAGCAAAGTCAGGATTTAGCTTCAGTGCTTTGTGGAAATATCCAGCTGCTTCATCTCTAAAGCCCATTCTAACAGTAAAAATGACAAATAATAAGCACAGTGTATGCAGTTGGCTGCCAGACGCCTGAAAATTGAAGTAGTTAGGAGAAAAATGACATTTGTAGACATTCACTACTGAAATGTTAGGTAGTAATGGTTTTAATGTTTAGTCACAATTTGAAAACAACTTTATTTTGCTTTACGGACTATGTCTTCGTGACAGACGGGACGTACACATTGGGCAATCAAAAGTGAGTACTAACTAATTTAAAAAGATCGAAAATAAGACGTTTTCATTTACAAGACTGTTTCAGACAAAGATCCCTTTAATCTGCTCCTCTATAACAATGTTTTCACTAGAAAAGCAAGTAAGCTACTTGGCTAAAATTGAGTTATAAAGCAAAATTCCTATGTTTTCACTTTTACAGATATAAACTTAAATTCCGAAGTCAGTGATATGGTGGTTCTGTCTCAAAAAGGATAAAGTTAGCTTATAAAGCATGATTTATGGTTTTACTCTGTGATTTACAATGCAAAAATGAATAAAATATAACATTTGGGATATATCTAGACTGGCATGATTTTCCGGAAATGCTTTTAACAGAAAAGTTTTCCGTTAAAAGCATTTGCGGAAAAGAGCATCTAGATTGGCACGGATGCTTTTCCGCAAAAGCACTTTTTGCGGAAAAGTGTCTGTGCCAATCTAGACGTGCTTTTGCATAAAAAAGCCCCCATCACCATTTTTGCGATCGGGGCTTTTTTGCGCAAAACAAATCTGAGCAGTCTACGCTGGCCCTTTTGTGCAAAAGCTTTTGCGCAAAAGGACTTTTGCCCAAACGGGAGCAGCATAGTATTTCCGCAAGAAGCACTGATTTCTTACATGAGATCGTCAGTGTTCTTGCGGAAATTCAAGCAGCCAGTGTAGACAGCTGGCAAGTTTTTCCGCAAAAGCAGCTGCTTTTGTGGAAAAACTTGCCAGTCTAGACACAGTCTTATTGTACTATGCATTCCTACTTCACAATTTCATCCAAGACTTAGCCGCAGTAAAACAAGTGGCATCTCATAAGGACAATCTGCACAACAAAAATAGCAACAATGAATCAGAAATGCAAGCCAGAATGTCATTCTCTGAAAATCAGAGAATTTTCATGTCAAATCTCTGAAAATCAGAGCACACTAAATTTTATCCAATCCAGGTGTAATATATGACATGATAGCTCATCACAATTCGAGTTACCAGTGATTCCAATAGACCACAATTTTAAGACTATAATTACCATAAAAATTGCTCTGGGCTGAAATTCTCTATCTAGGAACAATTAAAAATCAACCATTTTTAAAATTTCAGAAAAACATGCTCTTTATTATTGCTCTTTATTTTAAAAAGAGATTCAGAGTGGACTATTCCAAAAAGTAATCTGGATTTCTAGTAGGAACTATGGTTTCAAGACCAAGTCCTATTCTATCATACCATGATGGTAGGAACTTGAGAGCACTGTGGGGCAGCACTTTTCGGGGACTGCACAGCTAAGAAAAATGCCTTACACTGTTAAACAAAGACTAAAGCTCAAAGTAGTCAAGAGGGAGAGACTTACAAGGTGTTCATATTCTGAACTAGCCCTCCTTTATCTTAACTGGTTGTAATGTGGGATCTTAAGAGGAACAGAAGAGAACAGAGGTAGAGGATCGTCATAACACCCACAGAAGCGTGGAACACAACCACTTACAAAAATTAAGTTACCTGAAACCATAGCCTTCACAGTGGCTTTCAATCATTTTTGGTCTATTTTTTTATTAAATAATTATTGTGAGAGTTAGTAAATGACATTTGGAAGACAGTATTTTTTATTATTATTTGTAAAGACCAAATGCATTTCTCAGAACAGTATGTTTAAACAGTGGTTACTGTATAAGTTTATAGTGATTTAACAGATATGAAATTCAATATTACATATTTAACATTGTCTCCATGCTCAAAGATGCCCCTATTTAGCAAAGGTGAACCAGGTCCTTATATGTTTATTATTAATTCATAATAAATAATGCATTAAAAAAAAACCTGAATATAGATTATTACAAACCTGAAGAGATGTTCCCCCATACTATTACATATTACTTCATCATTAGGAAACAGTTCCAGAGCCTGTTCATAGCAGTTAAATAAATCTTGAATCCGTGCAAGAGAAGCTAGCTCTTCAGCCCATTTGAAGAGGGTAAATTGAAAAGTTTCCTGAAAAGCAAAGCACACATTGCTAAGTCAAGTAATACACATATAAAAATTAAGGAATTGAAGACACTGGAAATTTCAGAAAAGGTAGTGTGAAATTAGTCTTGAAATGAATGCAAGGAGAGTTATTTCCTAAACAGTACATAATGTTGGAAACCCTAGTTTAGGTTCCCAGTTAGTCTATTTCTACTATTCCACCTATCCCTCCCACTAATAAGCACACAGTGTAAAATATTACAGAGCTGTATGTAGAAAGCTTGTACAGTGAAAGCCAGTTCAAACAGAGCCTCATTTTACAGAATCCTAAATTCACTTATTACTTGATATCTCTTTAATTCTCCTTTCCATCCTACAAAATAAAAGCAACATCTGTTCAATAGAAAGTTCTTAAGAATGAAAAAAAATATAAAATAACTGAGATTGGACTACCTAAAATAATTAAAAAAGCACTCACCCTGATGTCACTTTTTAGCTCAGGAGCTAGATTTAGTACCAGGAGGTAGTGGGCATATGCAGTTCCAAAATCCTGATCTTCCAGACAATGCTGAGCACTCTGTAAAGATGTGGAAACCAGTTCATGTCTGCCAGCTTTTCGACTACCTCGATGGCCACGGTGAGATCTGCCATTAGAGTTGGGCATTTTGAAGAAAATTAACTGTGCACTGCAATACAGAAAAACAAAACAAAAGATTATTATTCATGAGTAACTGTAAGTTGTAAATAAAAGTAATAGGTCAAAATATTTTAAAATTCTAGCATAGAGTGAAGAAGCCCTCACCTTCCCATCTTACAAAGAGTTGAAGATGTGATTAACTTTGCACATTTTGAATAGTTCCATTGTTAAGCATATGTACAAGTATTTACAAGGGTTAAAACTGCACAATTTTTTTCTGCTAAACTTTTGAAAACCATTTAGCAGATCTCTGGAAGATCAAACTGTTTTTATAAATTTCTATATACAAATAAAAACTTATGCTTAGCTATCCACAAAATTTATAAATTAAAGCTTTCCAATAGTATATACCCAAAGAAAATAGTCTCTATAAAATGATGCTGAGAACAATCTACATTGTACAGGTTGACCCTCTCTCAACCGGGACTCTCTGGTCCAACAACATCAGACCACGGATGTTATTGGACCAGACTCAGTAAGCAGCAGCCAGGAACCCAGCCAGGCTGGCTGCAGCGAGGCCAGTGGCTAGGAGCCCTGCCACGGGAGTCTGACTGAGCTAATGGCAGGGCAGCTGGAACGCCAGTAGGCTCTGGTGGGGCAGCAATTTGCTGTGGTGGGCTGGGAGGCCTGGCAGTGTTCTGCTGCAGTGGAGTCAGGAGCCCAAGCAATGGAACTGCAGGCTGCCGCAGCAGGGCTAGCAAAGCCAGGAGCCCCAATAGCATGGCCGGTGCTGCCCCACTAATCTGGACAGGGTTGGGAACCCCGATGGCTGAGCAGTGGTCTGTCATGCAGTGGCGAGAAAGGAATGGGACTCCCGGCAGCAGGACTGCATGCTAGCAGGGCCACAGCTGCAGTAGCAGGGTTGATGGGGCAGGAGCACCTGCTATGGGGCAGTGGTGTGCCATGGAAGAGCTGGGAGCCCCAGCAGCGGACCGTGGACTGCTGTGGCAGAAGAGCAGGGCCAGATGATAGGTGGGGAGCTGGCTGGGAGTCCAGGCCAGAGTGAAGGCAGTGGCAAGGGGGCCAGAAATGACATCCTCTGGTCTGGCAAAACCCTCCTTCAGGACCACTGAGGTCCCGAGGGTGACGAACCAGGAAGGTCCAACCTGTAGTTAACATCTAAGAGCAACAAGTTATTACAACTTTTTCCTTCACAATAAAATATCATATATATTTGTGGATAGTTTAATCTTATGCCACATTTTATGAAATGGTGTCCTCTTTAATTTTAAATTCTTACTTGGTTCCTGCTCTTGCAGGATTTTCAGACTATATCCCAAGACTGAAAGATAGTACGGAAAACAAGTTCTCAAAACAGCAGAGATTTTTCAAGATTACATCACAAAGAAATAACAGTAATCCATATGAAAATTCATAAACTATTCTGGTTATGTAAATCCATCTGCCTATGTAACATGAGTATGACACAGACATCACATGACATAGTTATCTGCAAGAGATGGATTACCTAAAGAGAAAACAGATCAGTAAAAGTTCGGGTGATGTTTATATTGGCATTTTAAACTATATCCATCTACTGATTAGCTCTTTAGAAGGAATATTACTCCTGCTGGAGGAAACGAGTGCTGGACACGAGAAAGCTGCCCCAGAGGTATGCTGGCACTTTGTGCAGAACCACATCCACACGTATTTAAGTGGGAGCATTTTTTTCTCCTACCAAGTCCTGAGGGGAAACATTTTCCTTAGTACCCGTCTGCTCTATTTTGTGTTTCTTTGGTCACACGCTGCAGGCACCATCCATCAACTTTTAGTTAGCACCGTGACTAGTCCGTTGTTGTATTTTATTCTTTAAACCCGCCCTGGCTACAGAGGCATTCGAGGCACCACCCCGTGTGTGCGCCTGCGGAAGGCGCGAGAGTCTCCTGGGGGAAGCAGCGCGAGGAGGGGCAGGTGCAACCCGCGCGGGGGGAACTCCTGCCTGCGTGAGGGGAGACGCGCTGCTGTCTGGGTAGCAGCCGCCGGGGGCGGGGCGGAGAGCCGCCCAGGCGCAGCACACCGGG